ACTGTTTATGTACGTGATGGAATGCATAACTTTTTTTGTTTCAACAACGTCTCACCCAGCACAGTGGCCGTAAACTCTTAAATATATTTTGCGTCGTAATAAAAATATAACTTGACATACGTATTTATAAATAATTTATTTTCAAATTGCATCATTTCTATGACCAAGGGCGGCATAAGGCATGGGCAACGTGGGCCACTGCCTACGCCTCGCGTTTCGAAGGTTTATGCATTACTTAAAAGCCGCAAACGCGATGAAAAATTTTACTTGTCATAAAACGATAAATACAGTAGTTTGTCAAATTTTTATTCATAAAAATGCAGTTTCAACTGCTTTTTATTTTATAAAATCCGTCTTCTTTCGCTACCAGAGGGCCTTTTAAACAATAGGTAGTCTGTTAGCATTGGTCAGTAGTAGTCCAAATTCAATATGAACGTTTGTTTCTTGAAAATTTGATCACGGTTTAAATACAGTATTTACTTTTAATATTACCGATTTGTCATCAAAAAGAAAACGTGTTGTATTATCATTAAAAGACAAATTAAAGTATTTGTTTCGATTATCCGAATTTTTCCCTTATCCGGACTACCTTCATCCCCAATTAGTCCGGATAATTGAGGTTCTATTGTATTTATTTCACAATATATGTGAAATTTTTATTTATATTACTTGCTTGAATTAAGGATTTATGTCACATGTAACTTTTTAATTTTCTAAATATTACTGTCATTCTGCTTGTTTCAGATGGTACTTAAGCAAAGTTTTTCATTTTTTTAGATTTTGCAGTCTGCTTTAAACAAATTCATACATATTTTTGTTATATTTAATATAGGTTGTCCATATCAAAGTTTGATGCAAGGAAATATTAGTCAAAGATTAGGATCAAAAGACCGACGATTAGCTTTACTTGGTAAGTAATCTCTAACTTAAGATTTAAAATACATTATAGATTGAACAGTTTTATTTTTTATTTTTAAACTTTGTCAATAAATAGTGGAAATATATAATTTTACAACATATTTAGCAATGAAATAGTGATAAAATTATAGCTGGTGATATTTAAACAAAACCTCTTCTACATATTTATTTATTTCTAAAACTACTGATAAATTTCTTTACATTGTTATGCTGTTTTTTAGATATTTGACTAAAATATTTCAAGAATTTAAAAAATGATTTAAATAAAAAAGAATTTAAAAGATTTTGTATGTTCTACTGAATTTCAGAGCATCAGATCTTCAAGGAGTAGAAAAAATTGCTTATATGGAAACATATTCATGATGATTAGTAATTTAAACTTGCATAAAATGCGCATCTATAAACAACAGAATTTTGTGTTCATTTCATATTCCAAAGACATTACCAAAGGCTCAGAAAAAGAGAATTCAGATGAGTAAGTCTACCTGAGCGAAGTTCTGTATACTCAAAAGTGAGATGTTTCAGCAGAGCCATAGAAGTGAAAAAGGATGGAGAAGAAAAATTTATCTAGTTAAACCTGATATTTAACTGAGATATAAGAAATTTATTCATACAAATGATTATCCAAAGTTTTCAATCCAATATTTTGTTGCTGTTGTAAATTTGGTCTATATACAATGTCTTATAATTCTGGAACCATAGGGTTTAAGTTGATCTTTGTTTGTTTCTTTATGGTTAAAGCATAGAACTAAGGAGGAATGAATTCGTTATTTTGATACGTGGGATCTACTCAGAGAGAAGTCACTGAAGAGTGGCAGGTTGCATCCACCATTGTGTCTGATTGTCTGAATGGGAAGTCTGGATGCAACCTGTTAAACTGTTTGGCAACTTCATTAAGTGCAGATCCATGCTATCATAATAATTTGAATTCATTCCTCCTCACTCAATGACATGTTTCAACTGTAAAAGAATAAACAAAGATAAATAATTTCCATCATTCTAGACTTATGGAACACTATGTGTTTGAGTGTAGATGTATTTATATTTATTTTTTTCATGTTGATCATGGCACACTGCATTGAAAGGGTAGTCACTAGTGATCTGTAACAAAACTCATTACTAATACTGAACTTTTTTGTATGCTAGATTTTTTGTCAACTGAATTAGAAGCAGCTAGAATGATAGCAGTTGACAAACCAAGCAAGCTGCAAGTCGAAATGGTAAATTTATCAAATTTTATAAAATTTTGTAATGTCTGAATTTGCTCTGTTTAAAGTCTTATCAAAATTTAAACAATTCCAATTTTAAGGAAGAATCTCCTACTGCAGCTGACCTGAAAGGAATGATCATTGCACTGAAATTCACCAAACCACCGCCAAATATAACTGCCAAACAGTTATTTGACAAAGTAGAAAATAAAGTAAGTAGTAAGTTAATTTTAGAAGAAAATTGCAGTTTTTGAAAGTCAATTAAATTTTCAGATTAAAGAATTTTTCTCCCTCCAGATAAAAGAAATTGTTGCCAAGCTTCCTCCCAACACTCTTGGCAAACCGCTATTTACCGGAAAGTTATCCGATAAGCAGTGGTCGGTTCTAGCAAATATCCAAGATGCAATGAAAAAGGAATATCTTCTTAGGAGAGAGATGTTGTTGAAACGTTTAGACGTGACTATTCAGTCTTTCAAATGGGGAGAAAGACTAAAGGTATCTGTTTTATTAAGGTTTTTTTTCATACTTCATATATCAAATAAACTATTTAATGATTTAAATTACATTACAGATGTAAAAATAAACTATTATTAATTTTTTTAATTCATAGCATTTTTAAATTGTTACTTTTTAATACTATTCACAAATTTTTTCTAAGGTTTCAAAAAATCCAGAAACTTAAAACTGCCATTAGCAATGCAAATACTGTAGACAATTTAATTCTGTATACATACATGGTATTTTGATATTTTTGCAAATTAATTCATTAAATTTATTAAAATTTTTAACTAATGTCATTTCTTGAATAAAATAGCAATTATAACATCATAATCTTAATGATAAATCTAATTTCTTTTGGAGTATATACAGTAATATCTCGACTTACGCGAACTGGAGTTATGCGATTTTCAAATCTCGTCAATTCATCTTTTGTTTGAGCACCACGCAACTCTTGATTACTCACTCCCCCCCACACTATTGTTTAGCTTACATGTTAGGACGTGTCGCGCGGAATCGACACATAGCTACAATTTATTTTGTGTTATTTATTTCTATGTTTGTTATATCTACGGAGACTTGAGAGACTCTGTGTGGTGATTTCTTGTAACCGTGAACGAATCAAAAGTCGAGATAAGATTAACAAGAACATTTATTAGCTTTCATACATCCGATTTGGATTTTACACAAATTGCGAAATTATACCCCGACTTACGCGGATTCAACTTACACAGTTATTGCTTGGTCCCACCTATTACATAAGTTCGGGGTATTACTCTATTTATATACTTTTATAACAGTTTCTGAAATTTAATAGTTTTTCTTTACAAAGTGTGCAATTTACTGAAGTTAAGGTATGTAAGAGTAAAGTAAGACACACTAGATGTTTTCTGAACAGAAACATGCACTTTATAACAGGAAAAGCAAATTATTTACAACTGAAAGAAGGTTGAAAACAGAGTTTAAAACTGCTTCGTTTCTGCCTGTAATACAAGCCAATCAGAGTGATCATTTGCAAGTGTCATCAAAATGTCACTAGGAATATAATTCAGTATGGCAGAAACGAGGACACAATGTTTCTAGATGATGCTAGATGGCGTTGTGCATTTTGATTTGTCATCTAATGTATTGCTGTTCAGAAAAACAAAATAAAAGTGACTGAAATGTGTTTTTCTGTCATAAATGTATCTGATCTGAAAATATCTTGTATGTTCCTACCTCTTCAGGTTCCAATATCCCTTATTAAATACCAATATTAAAATGGAAATAAACAAGGGTAAAATAGGTGGCAAAATTAAGACGACAATAGTTACCTGTCATTTATGTGTGTCTATCAGAAGATTCTTTGGGCCAATTTAATAAATTAAAATTTTTATCATGATACTAATCCAAAAAATAACTAATTTGGATTAATGGGTAGTAGTATTATATTTTATTTAAATTATTAAATTCAAAAGAATACATGCTGTTGTATTATAGAATAATTTATAATAAAAAATTGATTAGAAATTACAAGTTAGTCTCAGCTTTATCCAATGAATTTAGAACGACAGCTGAATGACAGAGACAGTAAAAGCATCAGTCTGCCGCTCCGAGCCAGTCTTCCTGTCTGTCTACACTAAACCAGTTTTTTGGTTTGGCTTGGATTTTTAGAAATTTTCAGATCACTTGACCTAGATCCACGTTAGTCCTCACCTTTCAAAATTCAGGTGTTCTGTTTGTGAGTTCGGCCAAACCCAAAACAGACACAAAAAGAGAATGCTTAAATGCTTCTGGGGGGAAAAAGTTAAAAAACAAAATTAATTTTTAAATTAAAATCTTTTCTATAAAATATTATTTACATTAGAATTATACATTTTATGTTATTTTATTATTAACAAAATTTTTTGCAATGTATATCTTGTATTGTTTGAGAATTTTGCAAATTGTATTTAAGATGCATGCTCCCGATAGGATTTATTTAGAATACTGTTTCACAAAATAGAAGCGTAAATCTTGGAATGGCAGTCAGATAAACAAAAAGAGTTAAATAAGACATACGGAGAATTGGAAACAAATGTTTGAACAGTTTCCATTAGGTTATGATGATCGGTGCCAAAAGGTTGAATGACATTCTTAGGCGAATCCTTACATCTAGAGTAAATAAATAAATCTATTTATGTTAACTTAAAATCTACTTTCTTTATCTATTTATTTATTTACTTTTTAAATTAGAAGTAAATATTTTGTAACATTGTAAAACGTCACTTGTCTTGCTACTTTATTTATTTAAATTATTAATGGTTTTTTNTTGGATTAATGGGTAGTAGTATTATATTTTATTTAAATTATTAATGGTTTTTTTTATCTTGCTCTCAAGAAAATGATGTTAATTACATATTAAAACAACTAAAAGGCATTTGGAGTCTCATTTAATGAAATAACTTAATTCATTTATATTGTTATAATGTTTCTTTTTTGGTGTCTTAGAAGTTGGAAATTTAGTTAAATCAGTTATTCAAGGAATGATTTTAGTGCTATTTCTGCTACAGAAGAATTCTTTTAATTGTTTTATTGTTGTTAATTATATCATAAACAAAAATCAACAGCAAAAATGTATTTTTTTTTTTTCTTTACTTACATTTGCCACAAACTGCAAGCTGAGAATATTTCACATATAAATTTTAATTTTTTTATTTTGTTAAATAAGCAGCATATTTTTTCTTACATCAATTTATATTTGTCACATATTGTTTTAGTAATAGTATAGGATGTAAATAAGAAAAATACAGGGCATACTGTATATTTGTACCTTGTTTGTCATTTATTTATTTGTTCATTTTATTCTCTTACTCTGTCTTTCTTTCTTTACCCTATTACTCACACCTGATACATTCAACTTAATAGATTCTTCTGCCAAAAAAAAATATAAGTGTAATATGCAATTGTTATTAGGGACACTGTGACTTTGTCATATTGTGATAGAATTGAGTTCTTGTAATTAAAAATTTTTTAATTAGTATTAGTACATATAAATTATCTTTTACTCCATCAAATCCTAGCACTGATTTGTTTAAATATGTGTGTAAGGACATGGGTGTATGTGTTTGTGTTAGAATATGATTAGACAAAAATGGTTGCTGGACATGGAGAGGTGACCTTACACCTGCTGGGCACAGAAGATCCTTACATTTTTTGACGTCGATTTCTTTGTTCTTGTGTTTTGTTAATTTTTGGCACCCATTTTCCATTAGGTGTGTACAGTGCAGTTTTTTGTTTTTGTCCTCAAATTCTGTTAGGCGCACACAATCACATCAAGGAACAAAGATATTGTCACTTTGATCCCACCATATTTTGAAAATAAAGTCATGGACCTCCATTTTTTATTACATTTTTGATTCCTCATTGCAATTAATGGGAAATGGCAAGGTTTAATCAAGATTGACTTATCAAATTTTGAGAACGAACACAATTCTGTAAGACATACAGAAGTGGCTTTGCTAATGATCCACCTCAATGATTGTTTTATAAAAGTGTCCATAATAATTTATATTCATGCATTCAATTTATATAAAATGTATTCATGTGCAAATATATTATTTTTTTTTATTTGTGTGCATTAATATACTCATTTACATAATGTATTTCAATTAGATAGTGTGCATTCTTTTTGTAAATTGGTCTCTGTTGTTCTCTATTTTTGAACTGAAAACTTAATTTTAGATCTTGAAACATAAATTAACAAGAATTATCTAAAAAATATAGAATATTTACTTTATAAAAATACTACAATTTGAAGACTGAATGCAAAATAATATTAGAAAAGTAATTTTGTTACATTGCAAAAAATACTTTTGAAGTTACAAGTGATCATTTGCAACCATAGTAATACAATTACCATTAGCAGATCTGACTGTTCTTTAGATATGTTTATTTACTCACAAATGTGTAAATTGATTAAAAGACACTCTGGCATCAGATTATTGTAAAAATTCTAATAAAACTTAAATGACAGGCAAAATTTTGTCTCAGATTTTTAGTCCACCAGTGGCCAAGTGGATAAAACTACTGAACACTAATAGTTGGTGGTGGATTCATCAACAGCTAGCCATGTGGAGTTTTCTGGGTTTTCTTCGTGTGTCTAATAACTAAACAAGAGCCAGTTTCTCATAGAAAGTCCTCCTGAGAGGCACCCCTTGGCAAATTATCCAAATGTGGCATTGCTTTATTCCATCAGTTCAATCCAATTTCATTAAATTGTCATTAATTCATACGGAGTTAATTGGCTTTCCTTGCAGTTTATTGTTTAGACTTTTTCTTGTGCTGAACGAGTAAAGCTCATTTCTTTATACTCAAATCTCATTGGATTTAAATAAACTCTTTCAAAACCACTTGACCAAATTTGGTGGGGAACATTATGACCAGGTCAGTGAATGTTGTAAGCTATTTTGGAATCCTGATTTGACTGTATCCTCAAGGAATATCACAGGAAAAACACTACTCTAGACTTAAGCTGGAATTTTGAATGCTTACAAAGTGCACACAGCAGTTCTGTTTACAAGTATAAACAAACAAATATGTTGTTTAATTTTTGCTCAGCATTCCTCATCATAAACAATTTAATGTGACAATTGAATCTAAACTCCAAGTTCAACAGCTTCATATTTATTTGTATATTTGTAAACATTGCTGGCTGGCAATACTGAACAAGCTCGAAAGCTGTTGCATACAAACCGAATTAAGTCATTCTGAAGCAAAGTTCTGAGAATTCTAACAAACTTTTAGTTTTGTGTTTGTTTAGATCCTTGTAATAATATTTTAGGCTAGTTAGTCATTGATTTATAATATTGGTGTTTGTGAAATGTAGACTGCTCATAGGCCATTATAGTGCTTATAGTGTCAACAGCCACATCCCGTTAAGTACTACCAACTTTGCAAAGTTTGATTTGTGACTAAACTTGAATTTCTTCTCTCAGTCAAGAATAAAGAGAATTATGAGATGGTAATACATATGTCGTACTCAATTCCAGCTTTTGATTGCTTAATTTTGTACAAACATAAAACAGAAAATATTTGAGCTATGGACAAAAAAACACTGTTAATAAATGCAAAATGTCATCCAATTTTATATAACATTGGATGAAAAGTGTACAAAAAATATAAAATATTATAAACTTTCACTGAAGTAGTAGTAGAATTGTCTGATATATTAAGTTTTAATAAGAATGCATTTGTTTTTTGTCAAGCATAAGCAAGTATCAGACTCAAAATATACTATGAACTGTTGAACTACAGTAGTCTCTCGAAAACTCGGCCTAATGTGGACCAAAGGGTGGCCGAGTTTGTGAAAATGCCGGGTTATCGGGAATGGGGTTAAAAAAAATAAGTATGAGTGTTTCCTCAGAAAATACTGTACTGTACTTGTATGTATTGTTTACTTGAGAATACAACAGAGAATAAACTGCCCAAATACCCTTAAACAAATGAAAAGTACGTCCTGTATGAAGGGATAGAGCCTTTACTACATGAAAATGAAAATTAATGAATACACTGCGTACAGTAATTTACTTGATAAGACAGACCTTTACTTGATAAGACAGACCAAAAATACTTTGAGGCATAAAGCTGTCTATAATGAAAATTAATTAACTAAGGATTTTTTTGCCTTGCCAGTATATGGCCGAGTTATCCGGACTGCCAGGTTATCGAGTGCTGAGTTTTCGAGACTCTACTGTATAATGGAATGATTGTTTGATGATTTTCAGTGCATCTTGGCAGAACTGCAACATCTAATAGAAGTGGACTAAGAATTGGCCTTAATTCTGGCTTTCTTCAGTAATTTTAACACATTTTAGACATAATTGTCAACATGAGCATGCGAGCTTATTCTGGTAACAGAAAATGATGCTTATCTGTTACACATTGTTTAATATTGCTTCTAATTTATATTGTTTACATTAATCATTTCACTAGCAAAATTGAATAAATAGAGAGATTTAAAAGAAAAACAATGGTTGCCCATTTCTTCACTACAAAATACTGAATCAAATCTGCGCTTCCACATAAAATACCTTTCAAATTATAATTTAGCCTTTACTGGTTTAAAATATTTCACCCTAAATTCTCTAAACTATCCAAAATATTGTTTTTTATTGTAATTAATTCTTATTTTTGTGAATAAAAAAAGAATGGAATCCCTGTTAGAAGAAAAACAATTGCTGCTTCTCTTAAATATAGACTGTGCACTGTGTAATGCCACAGCAAACAACTGTATGTTTATAAATTCATATTGTAACATTTAAAAATATTTTAATGATAAATGTGATTGTTATTTTGTGCTATACAAAAACAGTTTTATTTTATTTTCTGTATTGTGTTTGTTTAATACTGTTCAAGGTGAATTAAATTTTGATAACATCAGAGTTGATTAGTTCATATTTCTTATTTAAAGGTTTGCTCTATATTGTTAAGATTATCAAACACTAATAATTTTTTGAAAATTATTTTGCTGAATTTTACTTAATTTGTATTGATTAGAAAAAAGATCAGGAGATCATGCAGGCATATCTTCCTAAGCGCCAGGCATTGACTACCATTCCGAATATCTTCCTGTCCGATGTCTTAGCTGCGAGGGAAGGTAAGCAAGTTTCACTATGAAATATTTTAAATTTCAACTTCAATTCAAACTAATTTTCTTGAAATGAGAATAAAAAGATTTCATTCTGACAAAAGTAGTCTGAATTGGATTTGTTTCAGGAGTTCCTTAATAAGTATATTAAAGGTAATAAAGATAAAAATAATTCAATTTGTTACAAGTGCATTTATTTGTATATTTAACATTTTACTGTGTATTATTTTCACTGTTGAAAAATCCTATTATTCACCCGTTTTTGCCATTCTTTTATCTATTCTTAGAACATATATAATGTACAATTTATTAAATTTTTATATAATTCTTTTATAATCAGATAATGTGATTGTAAATTCAATGAATGATTGTAAATCATTGAATTTTCTCACTGTTGTCATTGTCTTAGTATAGTAGAAGTTTGTTAATCCAGCACCTACAGGATCAGAATAGTGCTGAATTATTGATAATATCAGATTACTAGACATTTGCAAAAGTTCATTAAGTTATATGTGATCTGCAGGTATTGCTTTACACTTCCTATTAGTGCACACTACAGTATGCTTTAGATTTGTTTGTGCACACGCTGATCAGTCTGAAGATGATCCAATGCACGACTGTACTGTGTTAAGATTGATTGAAAAAACTGCAAAAGAATTAATGAACATATTATTGCACAAAATTGACATTCCAACAATAATGATAGAATGCTGGACAATTTCAGGTTATCGGCTAGTTTTTAGATGATGCCAGGTTATCGAGTATCAGATTAATGAGCTTGTACTGTATTTGAAAATCTTAGCTTAGCTAGCACAAATTGTTTACAATAAAGAGATTTAAACAGAATTGGAAATATTCAAGAAGCATGCTGCAAGAAGCAAATTATTTTAAAGAAGTGCTTTCCTTAAAATAGTTGATTAAATTCAGTTTTACATATTTCATATAATTTAAACCTAATAATATATCTGTAATAACTTACAGAGTAATGTTGATAAATTCATTTTGCTCATAGCAAATTTTAATTATTATTAAGTAACAAAATATAGAAAAATGTATATGAATTAGCTAAAAATTATCATTTAAATAGTTCTTTATTTTTATAAAATATATAATAACTATGATGTATGCCCAGCATTGCTTGGGCAAAAATTAACAAATATTAAGTTTATTAGATTATTTTGTACTTCTAACACTTCTATTATTGGGCTGCAATTGAAAAAATTGTAGACCTATAAATTCCTACTGTCGTGTGTCCGTCTGTGTTTCCTTAATCTCGAGAATGGAGTTAGATAGATGAAATCCGAGACCACATATGGAAAGCTTAGGAGGCCCCAATTAACTGTATATGAACTTTCAATGCAAACCACAAATCTTGTTATTTCAATTTAAAAATTTTCCCCTTAAAAGGGTTAGATAGATGACAGTATGATTGTTGCTGACAGGAAAAGTATTATGTACAGATACAAGACACTACTAATTTGAAGTGGAGAATACATATTTTATTACAATTAGTTTGGTTTATTTGGTTATAGAAATGCAACATGTAAGTGATCTGTCGCGGGGATGCATCCCAGGAGGACATTTATGTAAATCTGGTCCCTATTTAGGTGTTAATAATGTGAAGAAAACCCAGAAAACTAAAAACTCTCCATTCCAAATTAAAGTAAAAAACCTAATTTGCCATTGCATAAAAAATAAAATTTTACATTGTTGACACTGCAAATGGCTGCTGTGTTCGTTTCTGGGTTACCTGTATAAATGTGTGCATCATGGAATTTCCAAAAATAACCAGAATTGCAACACAGATTGTGTTGCTAGGAGTTGTTAGATTGGGGTTTCCTGTATCATTCTGTTGTGTGGAGTGTTTCATCCTTGATGTTGCTTTGTGTGTATTTTTGCATTGCTTTACTTGCAGCATTCAGTGATTATTATAATGAGTGACAAGAAGGAACAAAGAGCTTACATAAAATTTTGTTTTCTGTTGAGAAAAACTGCAGCTGAGACCATTGCTATGCTTTGATAACTCTTTAAAGATAATGCTTTGATTAAATCAAAAGTTTGAGTGGTTTTTCCGATTCAAAAATGGCATCATGTCAACTAAAGACCTACCATAGCCTGGCCATCCTTTGACTAGCCGAAATGAGGAAAACATCAAAAACGTTTGACGGGCCTTTAATGAAGATTGTCAAAAGTCCATTGACCAAATTTCAGAAGAAACAAATTTGTTGTGGAGTACCTGCCAGCAAATTTTATCAGAAGGTTTGGGAATGAGTCGGGTGTTAGTCAAATTTGAGCCTCGAATGCTCACACAGGAGCAGAAAGACAAATGCATTGAGTGTTTGCTGCAACTTGAAGCAGAAACTGCATAATGACCTAAACTTTCTTACAAAGATCATTACTACGGATGAGTCTTGGTTCCATGGGTACAACTCATAAATTAAACAAGCATCAAGCCAATGGAAACATTCAAATTCACAAAACCACATTGAAATTGATCAGAAAACATCAAGACAATGCTTATTTGTTTTTGATATATATTATGCACAAGGAATTTATTCCTTCATAACAGACAGTGAACCAGTATTTTTATCTAGATGTTTTAAAAAGCTGCATGAGACTGTGCAATGGAGATGACCAGAATTATGAGAAGTGGAGATTGGTTACTTTATCATGACAATGCTCTGGTCCACATAGCTCTGTTTGTCCAACAGTTGGTGCTTGTGTCCCATCCATCCTACTTGCTGGCTCTCATTCCTTCTGGCTTTAATAAATATTCTAATATTCTACACAGGTTAAGTTTTCTATATACATGTATATTCATTTAACTTTAATATAACTTCTGTTGTACAAATATAAAAAAAAATTGATTGAGAATCAAATTTATTGTTTGTGTGCACAAAGTACTTTGGTAATCATTATTTTTTTCTTTTCTCCTTATCCTTATATAATAACATAATTCTCTCAAGTACCCTTATCTTCTGTATCCTGTGATTAGCTAGCTAATTATTCATTTGAATTTTCAGTTTTATGTATAAGGTTGTTCAAATTAAAAATTGACTGAACTGTATAAAATATATTGTGTTACTGTTCATCATAGCAGGATTACAGTATACACAGCATAATGACAAAGTTGCATTAGCTGCTACAGGAAATCACTTTCTGCATTCAGTTACAGCTGTATAGCTGCTTGGACTTTGCTGTCGGAATCTGCGACCTTTAGAAACTTTTTTAAAAGGTCTGAAAATACGGAAGCTGCAAGGCGACATGTTGGGTCTGTAAGGCAGATGCTACATTGCTTCAGATGGAAAGTTCTGCAGTATCTGCCTTATAGCCCCAGTGTTACCTTACAGATTCCAGTTTGATAGCAAAGTCCAAACATCTATACAGTTATAACTGTGTAAAAAGAGAAAAGTCGCTGAATGGTTCTTTCAGCATTTTTCTCTTTCTACACAGAAGGTATACACAAACTTGTTCTGTGTTGAGATGTGTCTGACTGCAGAGGGTGATTTCCTGTAACAGCTAACACAACTTTGTCATTATGCTGTGTATACTGTAACCTTGCTATGGTTACCAGTGACACAATATGTTTTATATGGTCCAGCCTATATTTCATTCGAGCAATCTTTATAGAAAATGTAAGATATAAAGTATTTCAACATTTTACAAATATGTGGCTTTTTTGTAAACCAATGAAAAATGTTAATATTTTATTTTTTTCCCACAGATCTAATTATATTTGAAAAAACTAGTGGAGTCGGAGTGAGAGCCCGAACGCAATGTCAGGTGAATAAGGTCATAATTGGATCGGTAAGTAAATAAATTTAGTTTTGTGCATATATGGTCTGATAAAAATATAAAAGAAATATTAGATAATTACAATTGTGTTACTTATAGGTGCCAGATAGGGGTGGCAGACCAGAAGAACAACAGCCACCGCCTCCAGAAATGCCAAGTTGGCAACAGAGAACCGATCCACAAAAATCTGGAGGGGGAGGTAAGTGTCTGTATTTTTTTTTTTAAATACTTACTGGAAGTATTGTAAATACTTTTATTTAAATTTGGTTATTTGTTTGTATATTCTTTTTTATAATGTTATAGAATGTCTGTAATATTAATCAATATTTTAATTGCATTTCTTCATAAACTCATTTCTGTATCTTTAAATATTCTACTATTTTCTACTTTGTGTTATTAAAATCTGGAATGAACACATGAAGAAATGATTTAATATTTCAATTAAAATTTAGAAGAAATATCTGTTAATAATAATTTACTGAAATATTTTTTAAAAATATAATAATTTAGTTATTGGTAAACATTACAGGATTTTCCGGTGGAGATCGTAACAGAGTACAAGGAGGAGGATGGTCCGGAAATACCAACCAGATGGGTGACTCCCGTCAAGGAAGTGGTAATTGGCAAGATAGCAAACAAGGAAGAGGTGGCTATTCTGGTGGACATGGTAATTATAATCAGAATTATCAAGGAGGGCAGGCAAGGAGTGGTGGTTACGACGGAGGACAACATAATTATGGTTATCAGGGAGGACAGCAGAGGAGTGGAGGATACGACAGCGGACAAAGTAATTACGGTTATAATAATTATCAAGGAGGACAATCAAGGAGTGGAGGAGGACAGTCAAGAAGCGGAGGTTATGACAGCGGGCAAGGCAACTATGGTTACAATAATTATCAGGGACAGTCGAGGAGTGGAGGATATGACGGAAACCAAGGAAGATATCAATATCAAGACAATCAACAAAGGGGAGGAAATGAATATCAAGGTGGTAGGGGAAGAGGTGGCAAAGAAGGCCAGCGTGGAGGCCAGAATAGGGGCGGCAGGGGAGGGCGAGGAGGGGGGAGGGGTGCATACGATCACGTCCAGATGCATCCGCAACAGCAGTATGGCTATCCCGTCTACGATCCCAATGTCTACTATCAACAATACCAAGGACACTATTGATCACAATCGAGTTAGGCCATTAAATTCAATTTTGTAAATTGTTTCCAAATTGATTCGACTTCTTAACCATTTGAAACATCTTATCAAAATAAGATATACGACACATATATATATATATAACAGTGGCCTAGAAATATATATAATTTGGTTTTAGTTGTATTATTGAAGCTATTTTCATACCAAGTGCTTTAAAGTATCTTTGTTTGATTCTGTTTTCTTGTTATGAAATAAGGTAAAGGAAAGGCATTGTTCTGTTATAAGTTATTTACAAAGTATACATTTTGCGTGAAAGAGAATTCTTTTGTTAAGTTATTCCCCCGTAACATGAGTGCGAAGTGCGTGAACCTTTCGAGTGTTTATATCCAAGTAGATGTGTCTGAATCTTAACTAAAGCGAGCAAACCTTGAAAACTTTATAGTGTTAGATAATTAACCAACAGCTTGAATGTATTATAATATATTTTAAGCAATGTATGAATGAAACTTCCCAAATATTATAAATAAAAACATGAATCTGCAACCGGTTTCTGTTAAGGTTTTCATCCGAAACAGTCAAATTAGAATTGAAACCACGCGAAAGCCGTTCCAAATATAGTATAGTAAAGCAAGTTGGATCCAAGTAGGTGATTATATCAATTAATGATGTAACTGGATCCTTTCAACAGTAACAAAATTTACACAGTTGGTGGATTTCTATTTTTAAGAGGAGTGTAGCCTTCAACTAACAATTGTGATTGACAATAATGCATCTGTTTAGAGATTTAGAGCTTGTTCTAATGACCTGGACAGAAGCCAAACGCTTTATATAAATTTTATATAGTTGCATCAGGTGTAATATCTAGATCTTTGTATTGTTTTAATTATGGTGTGTTCAAATATTTAATCAATAAGTACACAATTGAACCACCAATAACGGCCACCACTTAACTTCGGGAATTTTTTTTAACGAAAACATTTACAAAATAACCTCTGAATAACGGCCATTCCCATTCCTGGCCGCTATTCGGAGGTTTGGCTTTATACATAAATATTTTTGGTATTTAGTGAAGTTGAATATTGTTCTCTCCAGATGGCGTTAGTGGAATATGTATATTTTAGGAATTAGCATCATTGTACTATATAAAGCATTACGTTTCTAATGTGATACAATGAGTAAAGATAGACACGCTATACATTATTACGTGTTGCAATGTATTAAATTAATAACGACAAATGCATTATTTTGTCTTCACTAAAATCTTTTTTAATAAACTAAAAATAGCGACGACAAAATTAGAAGACTGTGGACTTCTAAAAAATGGAAATTCAAATTAAACTCGTCTTCTAATTGGATATTACTGCCAAAATTAAAATTCAATATCCAATCGTACGGAATTTTAAAAATTATAACTCGAAGTATAATTGGTCTGATTTAAAATTCGAAAAAACGGATTCGAATTCGACCAATTACACGTCGCATTATTCGAATTTGAACTTTGAAAAATTAAAGTCGACCAATGGCGCGTAGGGGGTACTTTTCTAGCGGAACTAGTGACTAGTTTCTGCTATTATTACCTAAATTCGAATCGTTCTATACATATCAAATCGGAAAAAAACGGTCACTCCCAATTTTTAAATAAAATATAGCATGGTTGATACATGAATATTATATTAAAACCTCTGAATTATTAACGTCCTATCATAATCGTCCATTCATCTCGTTATCGGTTTAGTGACCTAAGAAAGGTCACGTCCATCGACATTGGGAGGAGCCGGGAAACATGTCGGCAATTGATCTTTATGAGAAGTCGTGATTTGGACGAGGATCTCTTTCGATTATCAAAAAAAAGAGGAGAAGAAGGCCATTTTAAAACGCTTAAAATGTTGGCATTTGAAGGAAATGATTCGTCATCTTCACGACAGACGGTGTTAGTCCGACTAAAAGGATCGATTACCCTCCAGAGATATCGCTACTTGTGTAAGTTTTACTTTCCAAAACCGTAGAGAAAATATATCTTTCGATAACGTCACGTATGACCTTTGAAAAACATTTTAAAGGACGAACGGTAAACGTCACGAAGAATTACAACCATTTGAAATTTTCTAGTCTTGACAACTTTGCAATCGCTTCCAACTCAAAGACAAGACAGAATAAATGAGTCAATGTACCATTTTTTTAAAATAAATAAATGTAAGAGATGTTGAACAGCCTACAGAATTACATGTGTAATTTTTTTAGTGTGCGCTTTAATAGCGCGTGTCTGAAGAGGCTCGTATTACGGCTTCGGATGATTTTATTTAATTGTGGAAAATAATGAAAAACGTATTGTTATAGAAGCACTTAACAAGAATAGAAAAGATCCCCCTTTCTGATTTAGACCTATATATATAAATGCCTTTTACTGTCATTTTTCTTTATCCAAACACTTTGAAGATAAGGATAATTGAATTATTTTCATGATTAACGTTTAAAAACTTCATTGAATTAAAAAAAAAAAGTTGATATATAACTTTGTCTATCGTCGGTCACGTTATTTATTGAATTATCATTAAAATAGCATGACAGTTGCAGAGATTCATGCAAACGATTCAAAATTGTGAGAACTCTGCATGTGAAGGGAACACCCTTTTTTTCTCATGACTCATAATTTCCAACAATTTGTCAAACTTTCTATTATACAACGGTGTAGAAAACTTAATTTTTCATCGCGTTAATAATAAATTTCTATCAGTCGTCCCGCTTTTAAGAAAAAAAATTTTTTTTTTAAGTGTTGCATCTGGCGATGGTTTCTCTTGTTGCATCGCTTTGTGTAACCACGTGTGGTTTTCTTTCCCTTGACTGCAATTAGTGAGTTAAAAATAGTATTTGTAATTTTTTAACACGTGGAAGTACACGTGTTTTGCTTCGTCTATATCTCAGTCCCAATGGCATACGAGAAAAAAAAAAACAGACAAATGTTTATTGTGTTTAGTGAGGCAAAGAAGTTTTTCTCACGAATTTCTCATTAATTTTGGATTACAAATGAATTTCGAGCCAAAGTACATTTGTAATCTTACAATAATGCGAAATTCGTGAGTCAGTAACGATATTAGTCGACACCTCCCTTGCTTTGTTTTCATAACGTTTATTAAATTAACAAAGGTTGGCTAAACACGAGTTTAGTTATTTTTCTTCCTCCTCCTCTTCACGAAAAACTTAAATTTTCAAATATTTATAAAAATATCCGATCATAAAAAATAACATATCTCGGTTGGGGAAGTGGTAAAAATTTGGCTCGTGCTAAAATCAAAACATAACTTACTACCGATAATTTTAAGTACACTCTAAACAAACAAACAAGGTAATAATGTGCTTTCCTCCCTTCCTAATCCTCATCTAGCGTTATATCATTTCGAAACAAGAGGAAGATCAACGAATTTCGGTAAACATGTCTTCCGCGAATTGTCACACAAACAAAATTCCTGAAAATTTTTCGATTTTCAAAAGATATTCCTCGAAGTAAATCTTTATATAATAAAATAAATACGGTATTTGGAAAGTATATACAGGTGTAAGGAGTTAATATAATTATAGAATTACATGTGGTTTGCAGATGAAGGTAAAATTTGGATAAGAGCAAGGTTATATATTTCTTAGAAATGAATTTAAAAATAAATAAATAAATAAACTGTACCTGTTTGAAATTAGCTGACGTAAGTTCAGAGATTTTGATAAGTAGAAAATAGATGAGAGCAATTGCAAAATATGAGAAGTGTCACAATGACGAAATCTGAAAGAAGAAAAAAAAAACAAATGATTATTTTCTATTATTTGATAAATGAATGATTAATGGGTTTACATCTAAACAGTTTGGATTTATCGTGGCTGGATTAACCATAAGGCAAAATAAACACGTGCTTAGGACATCGGGGAAAGGTTCACCACAGAAATTTTTTCATTCAATGTATCATATGGTGCATCTGAACTTGGGTCCACGAAAAGGGGCCCCCCACAATAAATGAACAAATTAAAATTATTTATATTTTGAATTGCATACAGTATAGGGGACAGTAAAATCTTTCAGAGGCTTAGGGCCTGTAAAAGTCTTAAATCAGGACCTGGTATATATATCGAAAAGTTTTTAGAATTATACTTCAGATCGGTAAACTATCGTTTGCATTATTTGCGATTTGAAACAATGCAACGACACTTCAGAGAAGTTCGAGACTACTCGGTAAGAATGGCGGTTTTAAATCGTGCGAAGTCCCTTTTATATAATGTAATGCCAATATCACACGATACTTGATTGTACAAGACAATACTACTGTAGCAAGGACTAGTACTGGCTTCTGATCATTGGAATCCTGTACTAGATAGGATCACGCACAGGCCTAATTGTCGATACTCATAGATATTGTGCGTGCCTAGTCGAAAACCTAAACTACCTACGTCTAAACCCTCCATGGCTCGTTGATATATTGTTTAACAAATACGATAAATTAAATTCTAATAGAGTTTTAAGATTTGATACCATTTAGTGTAAGAATAGCGCTATGTGTATGATAAAAAAATGAAATAATGGGAAGTCTGGTACGGTTAAGGTTTTTGAAATTTCCATATTTATGAGTTAATTGCATGTTATATAATATAAATTCCTATGATAAATGCTTAGTTTCCATAACAAAACGTTAATTTTAAGTATAAGCCTGTGTATATGAGCTGTTTTATCCATTAAAATCAATATAACTTACCTGATGAAAATATTATGTCTACATGCTGTAGTATTTTTATAATGATTCGGTTAAAATTCTAATGTTATAACAGTTAAAAATCTAAAAATAATATAATAAGAAAAATTACGAAACAGATGGAATGGAAAAATGAATTATTTGTCGAAATTGTTTGTTGTTCTTAATCACTAAAATCCTATATTAAGTAAGTAGTATATAAATCACTTTTAAAATATTACTCGTTTTTTAAACAAGTAATAGATATAGTTTAGTAAATTTATATAATTTATTTCATTAATTTAAACTTATAAAAATATAAATGAATCCAATTAAAAGTTTCCATTCACGAATAGCCAATAAAACAAAATAACGTTTTTGAATTAGCCAATGAAAGAATAGATATTAAAGAAATAGTCAAAACGTAATTCTTAATTGGTCGATTTAAATTTTAAAATATCTAAGTGTTTTTTTCTTGTTATTATTTTTATTTTAAATGTGTTTCATTTGTTGATTAGTTTAACGTATTTTTTACGTTCAAATTAGCCAATAAACAAGAATAAAACATCAAAACTCCTCCAAAACAAACAATTAATTAATAATTTTAAAAATATACTGTATATATATATATATATATATATATATATATATATATATATATATATATATATATATATATATATATATATATATATATATATATATATATATATATATATATATATATATATATATATATATATATATATATATATATATATATATATATATATATATATATATATATATATATATATATATATATATATATATATATATATATATATATATATATATATATATATATATATATATATATATATATATATATATATATATATATATATATATATATATATATATATATATATATATATATATATATATATATATATATATATATATATATATATATATATATATATATATATATATATATATATATATATATATATATATATATATATATATATATATATATATATATATATATATNAGAAGAGGAGGAGGAGGAGGAAGGAGGGAGGAAAGAGAGGTGTTTGCCAGAATATTACATTTAATGAGTTAATGTTGCCAAATTAAAATTTGTTTGACCTCTTCACGTGGTAAAGAGGAGGTTGAATGTGTTATGTTGTTGATTGAAAGTACTCGATACCAATGCGAAAAAGTGGGATAACTGGTGACATGACAGATCAAAAGTTGATAGGAACGTCTCCAACTTCGAAAGTATAACGCGCTGCGATATGTTGGCCCTATGTCTAAACATAATGGAATTTTATCTGTCATGTGCATAACTCGATTCTCTTCGCTGTCAATGATGAAAACTGTTTATGGATTCCTCGATTGTCCTTAGTCGCGATTCCTGTTCCAGTTTATAAACTTCATCCAATTTTAGATTGTCTGCTTGTTGGTCGTGCCCGCTCTTTGCTCTAGTAAACCTGGATGCGGCGTTATTTCAAGGATTCGTTATGTCAAAATTGTGTGTGTGACGCGTGACATATTTAACTTTAAATTCGGAGGATGGTAAACAGTTTAATATTCCTTTGTATATGTCTGATATTTACGATTGTGCTGGCATTTTTTTTTTTTTCTTTTTGGTGGTGTTATATGAAAATACTCGAACTCTGGAAGGCCATGTTTACATGCCAAACTTTGTTGGTGTTAAAAATAATTATTTTCGACTGGTGAGCGTATTAAAAATGGGTTTACTATCTCCTATCCATTAAAATCTTTTAGATATCGAATTCTAAACAAACATACAACTCGTAAAAATCAACATATATCATTAACCTGATTAATTTTGGCCAGGGATTGATCGTGGCGGTTATTTTATAGAGTCAACAGTCCAGCATATTATTGGGTTAATAGGACAAAACTAGAGAAAGACTCCCCTTATATCATTTACCTAAATTTCGCAGCTTGGAAATGTTTGGAACCATACCAAAAACGCCTTTTACCAGATTTACTTTAAACCTTTCTCTCCTTTTTTTTTAACGTTAGGAAACTTGTCTTATGAAACGAATCACAACTGTGAAACTGTCTCGCACCATTCTAGACTTAGAAAATGCTTAATTATGTTTATGAATAGAAGAAAATTAGCTTGCTAATTATATTTTAATAGCACTTAATGTATCTATCTTGTAGCAGCGTTGTTACGTTTACTAATGCGCTTAATGTATAGAAATTATGTAAATACGTAATTCTAGAAGCTTTTTTTTTTTAATCTCATCTTGTACAGAAATTTTATTCTATTAAACGGTGGTAAGGGCATATTTTTATCTTAAGACTGTAAGCTTTAAGGAATATCTTTATATCTCACTAAGGATAAGAGACTAGAAAGTTACTATCTTTAGTGAGGTAAATCGAGGTCTTTCTTTTTATCTAACCGAAAGGACTTAAAGCAAAGTGACTTTTAGAACATTAACCATACTAAAAATTGATTTCTGGCCACGCTAACTATGGAAATTATATATATATCTTGAAATTATAAATGGCATAGATATATACCTTTAAGCATTTATATTTATTATAGAACGGGTCCTAGACCTGAAAATTTCGCTCTACATTTTTTTGTCAAAAACATGAAGCGTTCAGGGACGTTCCCAATATTTCTTTCCAAAAAAGGTTTTTAGGACAATTTTCTGCTCATCTAGTCATGCAATAATCAATAATGGCCATTGAGCAGATAGAATCGAGCTTAAAAATTAAATTGATTACTACGAAATAAGCTCTGAAAATAGATCTTAAAATAGAAGACATTCAGTTTTTCTCCTTTTCTCAGAGATAACATTTCTTGTTATTACTATTTTCTTTCTTGTAAACAGGATAATTGTTTAGGAATTTTAATCATTTGTAAGTCGATAGGGGATGAAAGTAAACTGAAGAAAACAAATTACTGATTCATCATCTCGTTAATAAAGAACGGGCAATGAACTTGTATCTTTAAATAAGATGCAGATGCTTAGTTTCAGCTACGTGCAATTACAACAACGTCTGCAGCTTATCCGTCACATGATCGATTTTAATAATTCTGCCCGCTTGTTGTTCCTGCAAACAATACATACAAACATCCTCAACAGTAAATCTTTTATACATCTTATTTTTAATGTCAAAGATTAGTTTATATATAAGCTTATATATCAGGATTTGTGTCTGTAAAGCAATAAGTTGATGGATACCATAATGAAATTGCATAAGCGTATGTAATGTATAAAATATGCATTAATATAAAAATCAATATTCTAGTGAAGTAATTCTTTGTAGGCTGTGATTATATATAATAAGCCAAAGTCGTGTATTGGTTAGAGATAGAAAAGTAGATCCTATTAAAGATTGGCATGTAGTTTCTTCTATGTTTTTGTCTGATTTGATGCTTGTTAAGAGCAGATTTATTAAAATTGTATAATTTTAAACAAATAATTAAAATATTTTTGTATTAAGTAAGTAAATTTTGTTTTAAAAAATCTACATAAATTCAGATAAACACTAATCAGAAATCTGTAAAATCAAAAAAAAAAAAAAATTTATCTGTAGATAAGATATAACAAATAAGGAAAAATTAAATAATTAAAATTCTTTAGAAGTAGAAGAAAATTATCTTTAAATCTCTTTCGGTTTTATTGTATTTCTTTTAAAAAATTCTTTCTTATTTATTGTTTTAAGTAATGGAACTTTTATTGCACAGGAAAACAATTTCTACCTTTCAGCATTAACTTTAAAAATGTATGCAATAAAAAGCAATAAGGAAGAATTTATAAAAAGACTAATAATTTATTAAACTGTAATGAAAATTTATATAAAATTATATAAAGCATTTTATACAACTTATTAAAGTTTTCATTTCTTTTTCTAAATCTATTGAATAACAAAAGTATGGTTTGTATTTAATATATGAATAAGATAAAGGAAGAAAATTCACTAAATAAGCAAAAATTTGACTTCTAAATTAGTTAACATAATGAAATAAATTTCAGTTTTGTTTCTAAATTCAAAACATGCCTTGATCTCTATACAGAATCTACAAAAGTATTACCATAAAACTACATAAAAGTATGAGGAAAATAATTTATAAATAGTCCTGTTACAAAACTAAATCACCTCTTTCATTTTTAAGTGTACACAGTACAGTACTAGTCATATCATTTGGTTATCTAAACATAAATATAATGGATTATACCAAAACAAATTCAAACTTACGAAATTCTCATCTTGTAACAAAAATATGGAAAATAAAGAAAGGGAAAAGTTTTCAAAAGTCAATTATCGATGCTAAGAAATCTGTAATAATTCGTATTTAACGAGGCATAAACACTTTGATAGACTTTGGTAATTTATTACAGTGTTTATCATTACTCACTGCGTGAGTCATAACGTCAATACAAAGTTTAAAAGGAAATAAGCATTGGTTTTTTTGATTGTTATACTCTATTAATTGTTTTAAATTTTTACAAATTAATTAAACATTTTTCTACGTTAAGCAATTTCTTTTTGTTTTTGCTTCTTATTTTAAAAATTTAACAGCAATTAAAATAATGATGCGATTAGAAGAAGGATGCGGATTTAGTAACCAATTATTTTTTGTTTATGGTTCGTCTTTGAAGTTACTAAAAATTGTCTAAAGCTTATATAATATAATTATTATTGTTATGATATTTAAATGTTTTGACTATATGAAATATCGTATTTTATACTCAATTTTAATACTTTATATAAAGATAAATTAGAAAATTATAAATATATGAGTGAGTTTGGCATGTGTAATTACTTTTAAGCGCTTGCGATATATAAAATTGATTACTTTTTAAATTTATTTTTAATGTTGAAGTAACCTAAAATGTTCTACATAAATTTTATTAAATAAAAATTAATTCTGATAGGTTAAAAAACGCGAATAATCTAAGCTGTGTTTAATCTATAGTTTCCGGGTGTATGCTTTGTAATCATAGAAAAGAAATTGAGACATGTGATGTACAGCACAATATAATACTTCTCAATCTCTCTATTATATTATTTTTAATTTTGCATCCCCGAAACAGTTAACATGGCTTGTAGAACCGAGCGTGACGACGAGTCGATATTTCTGTTAATTTTAACGATTTATTTGAGACGTTTGCAACGTTTGCAATTTACCAGCCTTCAAAACCAGTTTTAAGACAATTTAAAAAAAATACAATTTACTGTATTAAATATATATAAAAGCACTCTAAAATGATTGAAAAAATCTAACACGAGCATACCCCATAAAATGAACTTTTAACTTATTATATTACACCAGAAGAGTGCCTACACATTAAAAAATAAGTAGTCAGTATCTCATATGACATTTAACAAGCTAACTACTGTACAGTAGAGGCTTATTAATAATAAAAAAAAGCCTGCAACAACAGACTTCATCTTTCATTTAACTCGTGACGATCAGAAAAACTTGTAAGAAATTATCTATATTTTTATGTTAACTCCATCGCCTAGAAATAAATAAAAAGATTATCGACAGTTTTAACAACTTCCTACTTCGCAGTAAACTACGTTTTCTTCTTCAGTGATTTTACAGTAAATTGAAGTTAGTCTACCTAGGAAGCAGAGCTTATCCTTAAGAAACACGTGCCATATGTAGTTACTAAAAACAGTTCACGTGTCGAGTAAAGAGACAATTTCTGGCAGTCTGGGCTCTGACGTCTGAAAAGGGATGAGCACAAACCAAGGACTCGTATATAACGTCTTCCCAAATCAAACACTCCAGCTTTACTACGGTGGTGTTTGCAAGTTAATTATCTAAATCTCTCTTGAAAAACGAGTAAGGAAAACAGGAAGAATACTATGGATTTTTCTTAGTTGAGTGATGTATTTATCGAATTATCGACGTATCAATTTGGAGTTATTATGAATCTTCGATAAACTTGTGACCCTCTTTGATTTTATACTCTAAAAGAGAGAAAGAGAGAGAGAGAGAAGTAAACTAAGCAAGATAAACATTAAAAAAAACCGATTAAACATTCGAATTTCCTAGAAATTTTGATTTTTCTTGGAATTATAAGCAAGGATGAGACTGTGAGTATTTTTTTTTATCTGTGCTGACTTTGTATTGTTGCATTGTCTTTAATATCGGTGCTACGTGTTGTCGGTTGCTAACTGTTTACTACTTATCAAGTTTTGAACTAGAAAATATTATTCGATTTTTAAACTTTTTTTTTTGCTGATTGTTTATATCTTTTAAATTGCTCAAATTTATAATACTTATAAGCGTTTTTCTATCAGTTTATGTGTTGCTTTATTAAACTTTTAGCCGGTTGCATACTACTTTACTTACAGAAGCTTATACTATTTAACTATAAGGGTTTCTCTCGTTTGCACGCTTATAACGACTTACACTCGCTTCTAAATGTTTATATGATAACTTTTAAGGCTTTTTGATCGATCATAAAGTGTGAAGAATTTACTTTAAGAGCTGAAAATTTCAGGGTTATTTAAAATTTTAAAAAAACGGATCGATACGAACTTAACACAAAAATTAAATATTTATTTTAAAAAAATGTTTATTTACGAATCATATAAATAAAACTACGCTATAAAAATTAAAATTGTGTATTAAAGCATATACGAGAGCATAAAAAAAAGGGGATTTTTTTTTTCGAATTAAATAGTTTACTAAAGAGTCGCGAGATGGCGACAACAGTAATCAGTCTGGATCTTCGATTCGATTGCATCTTGGGTAATTTCAAGATGTCGGAGATGTTTAGGGATATGAAATGATGTAAAAGCGGATTTCGATCGAGGTAAGAAAAAACAGGAGAAAGAGACAATAAACGATCGCTTGTATGTTGTATAGTATAGAGTAAGGAATGACTTAAAGTCTTCTAAACGCGTTTAAGAGTTAAATAAATTTATTAATTCGATAAAACAAGCGTGCTTACCCGGATCAAGATGCCGGTCAGTTGTCTTCATTTTGTCTTTTTAAATCACTGTTTAAAAATAAATAAATAAAAATATGAATATTTTAATAAGCGGAAGTAAATATTAAGATTACAACGAATTGGAAAATAAAATAAAAATTATTATTTAAAATTAAATATATGAAGAAAGAAGAGAGAGAAATTATGTTCTAGATACATACAATATAGAAAAAATAGAATTTCCAGAATGTAAGTGATGTTCTATAATACATTAATGCTGTGTGGATGATGGAGTGTTGGAGAGTGGGGAAACTTGTTTCGGTGTTTCTAAATAATGCTGTTCTGTGTATCAGCTGTTGTGTAAACCGTGGGCGGTTGCGGAATGTAATGCTGATGGTCTGCGAAGGGTAGTGGCATGCGAAAGAACGGAGTGTAGAACGATAAAGAAAGGGAGGAAAAAATCACCCCGAATTGCCGATATGTCGCAGCCGGAGAGTGCGATTGATTTTTCTTCGACCTTATCGAGAAAATGCTTTATTAGTTAAAAATGTATTAGTGTCCGTTAGTAATTAGTAGCTTGACCGTGGAATTCCTTACGGGCTATAGATGGAATGATTTATCGATGCAGTAATTAAAGAGAGTGTCGATTTAAGTTTATTTTGTTATAGTAAAAACGTTAAAAGAATTGCGACTTATCCGGTATTATCTAATCGACGAGGTTAAATTGATAACGGATGTTGCGCGTTAAATACTGCCGAAGATGTTTTGGAATTTGGAAATTAAGTTATTTAAAAGTTATCTGTAACTAAATAACAAATTTTGAAGATTACAATAATAATTTTAGTATTAACTTAGGATGTTTGAAATTGTAGTAGTAGTCTCAAAAAAATTAAAATAAAATATATTACATTATAAGAAAGTGAAATAAAAATCTTGTTTAATTCAAAATATTTTGTATTAACTCCTAAGAATCTGAGCAATTAAGTTTTGATTTGTCATAAATTATTTTACGTGATAAATTTTTGATGTCGTTACACTTTTTGTTTTTCTTTCTTTTCTCCCGTGTGACGATTTAGATCCTATTTTGTTAATGCAAACTCTGCTGGCATAATTAGTGCCCTAATGACACCGGTACGCTCTGCGTCTATTATCGGGTGAATCTATTATATAGCTGATACCCACCGAGAAAAGGGAAACTTGGCAAACTGATTTATAACCTTGAGTTGCTCTTCCAATCAGTATCTTCAATCATACTGTCAGGATAATGTTGCATTTAGATTTCAAATCTATTATTAATTTTTCCTGTTCCTGTTTCTATTTTTTTTTTTTAAAGAACCAATCATAAATTTTTTACTGGTATCAGAAATTTGTAATATTTTTATATGGTATAAGAGGAATTTATTTTGTAATGTTTTTGAATTTTTTAAGTATTTTTTAATGCAATATGTAATGCAAAATTTTGTCTTGTACTGTCTCTCAATTTTAGTTAATATATAGCTCTGTTTGATGATGTTTTGTCAAATATAGTAGCCATTTTTTTTTTTAACTACTACATCATTCTGTATCTTGTATCAAAATGCTAAATATATATTGGCCTCAATTCACCTGTAGGAACCTCCGGTTCCTAAATTTATATGACCTGTTTTGATCTAAATCAGTCTGAAGTGTTTTATAACTTATTTAAAATTTATGTTCGATAACTGTTATGTAAAGACTCCGTTGGGGTTATCCGGATTTGGCATTGGGTAGTACTTGCTACCGTTTAGAATTTAGAATTATCGTATTGACTGCATTTTAATAGGATGTCTTTCTTGCTGACATTCAGGTAATAAAAGGAATTGAAACTGTACATCACTTGGATCATTACCCTTGATGAATGCTTAATGATACAGCAGTAGTGTATGACTGGAAAGACTGATTTAAAGTTATCTAGTAATTTTAGAACAATGAACTGTTTTCATTAAATAAAATCAACAATTAATTAAAATTGATTAAATTTTCTTGTCTTAATGTTAAATGAGATTCAAATATAAAATTTTGGCCGGTCGAATATATATTAATATTAACTGTAATAATTTAAAACAATTCATTTTATTAAAAAGGTAGAGCAACACAATTATAAATGGGTCACACCTCATTTCCTCTCTGGCAGAATGGTTTGCATAATTAATCTGCCATTGCTTTAAACCAATGAGAGTTGCTTTCTCTCCATGAATGGCTCTTGGCATAAAAGAGAAATGCATATATATTATCCAGCTGCAGGCATTCATCTTAGTCAAATAAAATACCACTAGATAATGTAGCTAAAGGATTTATCTTTCAAGTGCTCGCTGCAATGTCGAGTGCTCTCCTCCCATTTTATAATTAATCGTTAGCATGTTTTATATAATTATTGAGAGTTTCAGATAATTAATCAGAATATTTTACCTTAAACTCTAACAAGTACACACACTAATTCTATTTAAAGCTACTTTCCCATCTCCCACGCTTTTGTCTCATATAAAATTTCTTTCATGTGCCGACGAGAATTGTTTACGTCCTTGGAATCATCCTATTTATGTCAGCCAACAATTTTGTGTCAGCAATTATTTGAGTATGGCACTCAAACTCCGTCTGTCAGGCAATTGGTGGCACGGCTCCAGATTCTAGATTTAATGATAGTTTTTCAGATAGGTTTCTATTGTAAGAATTATATATCTGATTGTAATAATGAAAATAACATTTTTGATATCCGCATAAAGTTGAAATAATGTATTTTTTTTATTTTTGTCTGTTAATTTTAGTGTGCACCGAGGCCAAGATACGCGGTGCATTGTCCTCGGTAATGTAGTCTGAAGGTTGTGAGTAGAAACAAAAATAGAAATGGCAGAAATGCTTAAAAGTAAACAAAAAGAAAGCAAATAAGTATAATGGGATATTAAGTGATAAATTTTAACAAATTTTAAGGTTAATATCTGATTCTCGGCAGGTGGTTGGCTGTCAGTCTATTAATAGTATGGTAGTTCTGCTCTCACTATCTCATCCTATCTGCTAAAAGCATTTGTTGTTGGCAGTTAGTCTGAGAATCTTGTAATGGATAAAGACTGTGTCTCAAATAACAATGCATTGTTTCTCTTTATTCAGTAGTTACCTCAATTTTTTTTTTTATCTTCACATCACATACAAGCTTTATTGTCGATTTTAAAAATCTTGCTTCGGGCATCTAAATCCTGTTTCCAAGCCAAGGGCAAACAAAGTTCCATTTTCTAACAGGTTTATAACTTCATAGGTTGAAGGATATAAATTATAGACATAAAACTGTTTTTTATTAATAAATTTTACAGCTTTAGACTAAAATTATCTGAGTGGCTTTCAAATTTCTATTGTGTTCTCTTTGAATATTACTGAGAGATAAAATAAAGCGGACAGTTTATCATTTTTTAGGTTATATTATGTAAAGAATAGAATATAATTGGTACCTTTACAGAGATTCAGCTGAAACAACAACAAAAAAAAAAGTTATAAACCCTTCAGCTGTGTTTTATGTAAACAGCAGATATTATTTTCACCATTCACCAAGCTGATGGCCCATAAAATTTTTCGCAAATAACCCAATATTACGGGGATCATCGTCGTTTTCTAATTGCGTTATGGCGTGATATCTACAACAGTTGCTGTAACATCTTGGAACAGTTGTCAAAAGGTACTTGGACATCGTGGGTGTGAGTCAGATTTTGTGGGTGTGTTGCATCTTCGGATTTCGTTGAATTGTTATATGGGAAAGTGCACGTGAACATCCCACCCCATTGATTAGGGGGTTTAGTTTTAGAAGCGAATGGTCGGTCAGTATCGTTGCTACCGATCTATCGACTGTACGTGCCTTCTCACATTGCTATCAATGTTATCTCTCCGCTTCCCTCTACTAACGATACAAAGGTACTGTATATAAAGATATTGCATGCTTGTTATATATTTATATGACATGATTTTTAAACATTTTAGCATTCTCATGCGGGAGAAAACATTTGCGCACAAATTAACGAATTGTCTTGAAAATTTGTCGTCTGAAATTATTTCAATTGCGTTTTTTAATGGTTAATTTCTTTAAAATAGATGAAAATGTTTAATAAAACTTTAAATTTTTTTTCCTTTAAAGTAATATAAAGTTAGTTTAAAAAGTTTAAAAACGATTAACACTTTCTTTTCTTAAAAAGATATTTAAAAAATACGTGATTTATAAAGCATTAAATATCGCATTTGTCAATCTATAAAGAATTCCTGAAGTGGTATAAGTCACAGACTCTTCTTATAACAGTAGAAGAAGAAATAAATTTCAGCTGTTGAGCTCCAAACATCGTTAAACTCTTAGAGCAACATCCACAGATTTTTGCCTCCCCCTTCCGTTTATTCGTTGATGGAAAACTGCATCCGTATCGCTTAGTAACGATTTAATGGCTCGTTGTCATCGCTGCTGATGTGTCAGTGACTTTGGCTGCGAATATATACTTTTCACATCGCATTCGATAGTTATTTTAGTATCTTGTCAGAAGTACAGTTAGCAGCATCAGCACCATTCAGCGCAGCAAACAGCCTTGGATAGAAATCGATTTGATTGCCGTCTCCGTTTCGTATGAGGAGATTCTTTCGACTTGTATATATACAATATAACGAAAGATATCCTTTCAATTTTCCAGAACAAAATAAAAACAGACAACATTTTCACTAGGACAGACGTACGAGATTACACACGTTGGAGTGTTATTTTTTTTAATTATTTCATTTAAATAATCCATGCCAGGTTTAATTAATTTCGTAAATTTAAAGCTCTGAAAATCTAGACAATAAGATGTCTTCGGAGTAAAAGGAAGAGAGTGTAAATTTAAATAATTACGTAACGAAAAATAAAATCGTAAATTGGCGGAAGCGGAAAAAATAAACATTTCTCTCGTTCGCTTAATTATCTTAAAAAATCGTCATTAGAATATGTCAAAATAACACTATTTTTGGCGACCTTCGTATCGACCTTGAATGTTTTTTTTTCTTTTTTAGAAAATTTCTTATCACCTTAATTTTTCCTGACATCTTTTCCAGATACAGTTACAATGGAGAAGTGTCCTATGAGGACGACAATAACAGCAGTTTTCCCATCACTATGACCAGTGAAGACTTGCTTCAGCCAGGTCATGTAGTCAAGGAACGATGGAAAGTTGTACGTTTTCCCACTTTACAGCTAATTCGAATTCCGTATTTTCTGATAAACTAATCGAAATTAAAACGAATTCAGGTAAAGAAAATAGGTGGTGGAGGATTCGGAGAGATCTACGAAGGCTTGGACTTGGTAACAAAGGAGTTAGTGGCACTCAAGTTGGAATCTGCCAAGCAGGCCAAACAAGTACTGAAAATGGAAGTGGCGGTCTTGAAAAAGCTTCAAGGTACGTTTTCACGAAGTATATAAATTGCTAATAAATCGACTACCGACACGTGTTGGGCTCGTTTAAAATAGCGTGAGCGTGATGGGGAGACACTCGAACTTAATAATTCGCTGACATGTAACTCGCTATTGTGGTTTTAGGAAGTGGGTCAGATACTGAGTCAAGGACCAAGTCGCGAGTCTGTATTTATACAAGCCTGAAGCAGGCATTCGAGGTTATTCGCGACTCTTAAAAGCGTGGCTGTATATATATAAGCACCGGATCAATTCGCTCTTATCCGAGAGGAGGAGGAGTTTAAAAATAGAAAGTCGTCAATCAATAAGGTGTTTCGTCGAAGATATCGTATTACCGCGGTGTTAAATTGAAATTTTTATGGATTATTTTTTTAAAGTGGTCACGCGAGATTTAAGAATTGCTCTTCTTTTCTCCCCCTCCTCCTCCTCGTTCTTCCGATGACGTAACGTAATAAAGTAGCCGACATTGGACATTACACTTAAGACGTTAGAATTATGTTGTGATTTGTCTCTGACGTGGGCGTCTCGCGGAATGCGACTGGTTACTGTTTCTCTACTTGTCTGTGACGTTTTTATGAAATAAATGCGATTGCCTGGACGGCGACGTCGCTTAAAAAAACGAAACAAACAAAAATAAAAAAGTAAGGAAGGGGGAAAAATCGAATTTTGATGACATCTGCGGATGCGATTTGTTTATTTTTCGAAGACATTTTTAGCAGCGACCAATTACAGAGGGGGAGGGAGAACTTTCGAAAAGTGGTCATTTGAATTACACGCTCGAAAGAAAATCGAGTTTTATGGCACGTTTATGAGGATAGTTCGATTTCTGGCGGAGGTGTTATTTTTCTGAGAAATTATTTTTGCGATGATGAATGCCTATCGATCGCTCCTGTATCCCCAACTTCTATTCTTACCAGACGTCAAGCTGTCTCATTTATTTAGCTCGAAAGGGAACGGATCAATGATCAAAAGTTTTGCATAATTCGCGCTAATTTATGGCACGGTCGACCTGGCTTTTCAATCCTGTAAAGTTTTGATAACGTGTTTATCCGATCCGGGACGGTGAACTTGTTGGAAGGAAATCGTCTATGTCTATTTTCATTAGAGACGAAAAGTGCAGTTTCGCGTGACTGGTCTTTGCCCTCTCTTCCGTTTCCTACTTTAATCCATCAACTACTGCCAAAATATGACGAAATGGACCGCTTGTACTCTCTCCCGTTCGTACATTTGGAACATTTCCATTATACAACTCCACGTGTGGATAATTTCCAGTTTTATTAACGGTGATCCGTTATGATGTTAATTTCACAGAGTTGTTATTGGGATGATGGAGATATCAAATTATAATTGCTTTCTTTTTAATATAAAACTAATTTAAAGCATAATTTCCCTAAAATGTTAGACTTATATTTAAAATTAAAAATAATAATAATAATAATGCAGCTTGCAAAGTGGCTTTATTTAAATTATAAGAAATAATTCTAAATTAATAAAAAAAAGCCACGATAATGGTTTTAAAAGTCATAAAATGTTAATTAGAAAGAATCTGGGTCAAATAAACTTTGGATTTGAGAGAAGAGCTGTGTGTTAACATTGTTAATGCTGCAAGGTTATAGAAGTGCTTTGTTTAGCATTTCCCCCCTCTTCTTGACCATATTTATCTTTAGGTGTTAAAAATGTCGCTTGCATTTTCTCTTTCTGTTGTTTTTGTGATGATCTACTTGGAATCTCTAAATCTCTCGGGTTTGTTGGATATTTATGGTTAGATTCAAGTTGCATTATGCAGAATTTGCATCCATTTATCATTTCTTTTCAGAAATAACTTTCGGTGTTTTATATTAGCATAAATCGTAGATTTTACTGCAGATTTTTATGAAATTTGTATGTATGCATTGCTCGTATATCATGAAATTCTTTCATTTCACCACCATGTAACAAAATAATGGCTGTTTAGATTTTTGCCATTGGCACAAATCCAAGTGTTTAAATAGATCTGGTACAAAATTTACATTATATATTTACAATGTAGTTTATTAAGAAGTATAATGTAATTTTATCATAATAATTATTTAAAAATTTACAACAATTTATATATATGTATATGTAATTGTATAATTTTGTTTTTGTAATTATTTACATATTTTAGAAATTTTAATTTTAGTTTATCATCATATATTAAATATATGATAATATACTAAAAGCATGAGATTGTATAAATTTGAAATTTTATGATAATTATTTCAGGTAAAGATCACGTGTGTCGTTTCATTGGTTGTGGTCGCAATGACCGTTTCAACTATGTCGTTATGCAGCTTCAAGGAAAAAATCTAGCAGAATTAAGACGTAGTCAACCTCGTGGTGCCTTCAGTCTTAGTACCACCTTAAGGCTTGGTTTGCAAATTTTACAGTCGATAGAGAGCATTCACGAAGTTGGATTCCTTCATAGAGACATTAAACCTGTAAATATTTTTAATGATATTTAATGAATTTAGGGATGTGCATTGATATAATAAATAAAAATATCTTTGTAGAAATTTTTGATATCAAATCTCATCCCTTAATAAACTTTAAGAATATAAAATTTATATAACTTAACTTTTAAATTAATAAATTTGAGAGAGTGAAAGAAAGATATTTAGTCATTCATAATGGAATCTTTCAATATTTGTTCAGTCACTACAAATATTAGAGATTCTACGAATTAAAGAATTTCAAATTTTCTTAAGTTTACTATGAAGATTAAAAACGTAGCTGTTTCTATGTATTGTGTATTTGTAATGATGAAAAGAACACTCTATAAAGAAATTGTTTAAACATTTCATTGTTTTGTTATAAATTTTGGTTAAAAATTATTATTTTTTTAATAGTTAATTAAAATTACATTCAATAATAAACACAATCAGAATTAAGTATAATTAATATATAGTTATATAATGATAATGTTTTAACACCAGAAGTTATGGTTAAACGAGAATTATAGCCAAAAGAAAAAAGTAGAAATGATAGAAAACAAGTTAAGTTAGAAAATTAATTTTCTTGAAGGATGTGATTCTTTTGCAATATCAATACAAGCATTATAAAAGGGATAAAAGGAGAGTTTTTTTTTATTTATTTAGAAATAATTACATTTGAATCTATTTTGTTTCAATTATTTCTGGAGATTAAGACAACATCTTACTTTATGCAACTTGATTAGTGTTATTTTTACTAAGGGAATACAAGCTATCTCTTGCTTCGTTTTTCTATCTCATCTTTATTTATTGGATTGTGTGTTTCTGGATTAACTGTATCATTTCTTTTATTTATTTATTGACAGAAGTAAATTTACTGTAAACAGAGACATTTATATATTTACTTACAATAATAATGTATAATTTCAAATTTTCTGTATGTTGTAGACTTGCTTTGAAGTTAAGTTCCTCAAAATTGTAGTTGAAAGCAAAATAAACTAACTAGAAACTAGACAAATGATAGAATACAAAGTAGATAGCTTCTTATTTATTATATTCTGTTTTGATCTGAATATTTGAGGAAAAAATCAAAACTAATGTAATCTCACTGAATGGTTTTGAAATAAAAAGAACCGCCTACAAATAAAGCATATTCATCTTCAGAGTTAATAGCATTCCAAATAAAATTGGAATTGAAGATGGATATGTTAATCTGAAAATGTTTATTGAGAAAGAAAAATAAATCATCAAATCTAGATCCCAATTTAAACAGATATTAAATATTTCTATTGATCATAAGAAGCTGAGATTTGTGTTTTTAATTGTAAGAAAAGGTTTCATGGCAAATAACATTTTACAGAATAAACGATGCAAAATATAATTATGATATTATCATCGAGAAAATTTAAAACTTCTGCAGTAAATTCTTGAGTATTTTAAAATACAGTGTGTTTTTTGATAATGCAAACTAATTAATGATAATTCTTTTCAAATTACTAAAAATTTGAATTTGAAAGGAACAAAACATAAAAAAAAGAATTTTAATTAAAATTAGAAATTTAATAATTTCATTTAGAATGAATACTTAATTTCCTACAATGGTGTTAAGTTAAAATAACTCTATTTTTTGTTTTTTCCTACTTGAATAATATTTATACTTTTCTTCTCAATCAAAGTAAGTTCTTTCTGCAGGATATCATTTTAAACTACAGGAACATTCAGTACTAGAGACTATACTGTAATGTAAAACAATGAAAATATGATTTAAAAGTTAATTTATAGATTTACATTTATTAAAAAATATATCATTTTTAAATTTTACATTATTTAAATTCTTAACATACTGTATAATGAATGCATATTTTCTAATTTAATGTATAAAGAAAGCTAATTTTTACATAGTAAAAGTTCATTTTAAATTTTGTAGTTCTTATATAAATTTAAATATTTTTGTTCATAATAATTTTTTTATTATTAATTTAAATTTATATTATAGCAGATAATTAATATTTGTGTACACTAATTCAATAATCATGTGTTGAGATAAAGAAAAATTGGCAAACAAAATTCAGATTTTTTAAAGCATTGTTTTATTTTTTTATTTGCTTGAGCTGCTTTCTAACTTAGAATAAAAAATTTACATCACAAAATATAAAATTTAAAATATTTAAAAAAAAATAAAATAAATGAAAGATGGCTTCCTGGATTTTGTACATAATAAAACTTCTAAATATATCATAGTATATCATTTGTTTAAAAATATAATAATAATAATAAAGATTTTATCATTGTATATTTCTTGGTATTCAAATTTTAATATTGAAGAAGTTACATAAAAATTTAATTAAAATACACTTAAGATTTAAATTATTTAACAAAAACAAAAAAGGTAATTGAATTATATATTTAATTAAATTTAATTTTAAAATTTATTAAAATTATTACTGCTATAGAATTAATTAACAAATAGTTTTTTTTTTTTTTTTCAAATCGAACAATTTTTAGTGAGCTAATTTAAAATGAGCTAGGTCAATGTAACACTTGAACTTAACCTAAGTTCTCACATGCCATATAGTTGATTGCCCTTCTTGGTATGTCACCACCAGCTGGTCAGGCTTTTGTGATTTGACAGAACAGTAAAATGTTATTAGGATAGGGTCTAAATAGAATCTGAAAGAAGATATGCTTGGTAAAATGCCAGAACTAGCACTGCTAATTTAGATGCGAATAAAAAAATTATTTATTGGCAAATTAATTTTTAATACATTTTATATTTTGAATTGATTTGTAAGTTTTATAATGAATCTGAATTAAATTTACAAGTTACTTGTATTATTACTATATATATGGTTATAAGTATCTAGTCTATTTAGTCAATAGTGTCAAGTGACTGTGTGGTTATTCAACATTACATAGCACATATATATTTAATTAGCCAGGTTATAGTCAGTCTGATTATCAGTAGTTAACACTGGTTATTATAAAAATTAAATGTTTTAAATTTTTTTATATTATAATAAAATTATAAAAGATTTCAACAAGTCAATCAAGGATTTTTAAATTAAATTATTTAATTTAACAGTCAAATTTTGCTGTTGGACGATTACAGCAAAACTGCAGAAAGGCATATATGCTAGATTTTGGATTGGCAAGACAGTATATTACTGCAAATGGTGACGTTCGTCCGCCTAGAGCAGCTGCAGGTTTTAGAGGAACAGTTCGTTATGCTTCTGTGAATGCTCATAAAAATAAAGTTGGTATATAGTTAAATGTATACTTGTGTTAAAATCATTCTTAATTTAAATTAAAATGATAAAAATTATATTTGATATTAGGAAATGGGTCGCCACGATGATCTGTGGTCACTGTTCTACATGTTGGTCGAATTTGTAAATGGTCAGTTGCCGTGGAGAAAAATTAAAGATAAAGAACAAGTAAGTCTTTATTACAACATAATGTAGAATAGCAGTATTATGCATTATTTTCAAATAAGTGTCTTGTTTTTTAATGTTTATATAAACTCTTGTCAACTTAATGAACTTTTTATTAATATACTTTTTTCAACTACAGCTACATCTATTACTGAAGGTAGCTATTTTACATGAAACAACAATACTTATTTGTCTTATAATTTCAATTTTTCCAATTTATAAATTATTGTATAGGTATTTGTCTTAGTAAGGTATTAATTTTATTATAAATTTATAAAAATTGTTCATACTCTAACTGAACTGTAATGTGCATTCATGAACCATGCTTAATTCAAATAAAAATTCATAGTACAAAAGTTCTTTGATTATTAACTATTCATATTTAATAGTTGCGATATAGAATTAGCTTAAGAAACAACAAAAATAAAATAAAATTTTTAAACAAAGTGTTAAGGATTCTGTGGACAAATTAATTAGATTAATATTGGTAAAATTATATTTTACCATTATTCATTTTGATGAATGTAATTTGAAACATGTAACCAGACAATGTCATATTGAGATACTTGATATTAAGACTGACTGTTATTTAATCAAGACACTTAACATAAATATAAAATTGCAACATATATAGATGAAAGATAACTTTAATGGATTAAATGTACGGTACATATTATGAAAACAATAATAATAATAATCTAATATAGTTAAATACTTGTTTTAAGTAAAAAGTAAAAGTTAACATGCTGGATTATAAATGTTTTTGATGTTGAATATATTTTTGAATGCTTCAGCTAGTTATTTGATTTCCTGTAATGTTTACTTAAAATTATATTAAAATTAATTCTGAATAATTCTAAATAATAATAAATGTAATTAGGATCTAATTATGTTAAAATGCATTAAATGAAAGTAATCTAGTGTTGAATCTATTGATTCAAGCTAAATTTCATTTAAAGAATTCTGATAAATTAATTTATTTATAAACTACATTCTTTTCTTTATAATATTTTAAAATAAAGCAAAGAAAAACTTATTTTAATATCCAGTGAATTGCTGTAAAAATTTAATTTAGTAAATGTTACTTTTTACAAATTTTGTGATTTTTTAAAAAGAAGAAGAAGAAATTTTTTTCTTGGCAATCAATCATTTTTTTTATTCTAACAAAAATGATTTAATTTAATTGTTTTTATTATTGTAATGTAAACTTTTGATTTATTTCTTCAAAATATTTACTTTTTTTAAAATTTTTTATGTAATCTATTTAAAAGTTTTTCTGTTTTTAATTTTTAAATTTAGCAACATTGCATTTGTAAATGATAAGTTTAATACACTTTCTTTTTTGTATGTTTTCTATGTTTGAGAGCCTATAAAATAGTATACTAATTTAACTCTTTGTTGTTAAATTTTAGTCCTGTTGCCAACTGATTGCTTTTGTTTGATTCCAGCTTGAAATAGCATTGCATTCTATAACAAACTATTGGAACTAATATTATAACTCATTACGAAACAAAGGTTTATAAAAAGATATTCTGTCAGATCTAAAATTTTTATTGAAATTTTTTATGATTTTTATACAAATTTAATGAGTGTATCCACACATTTATATACAAAAATATATTTTACCATTATTTTTGGCATTAAACTTAGGTTATTTTAATAAATTTGAATTTTTTTAAATTCTAAGATTAAGTTTTTTCTTGCTTTTTGGCATTAAACTTAGGTTATTTTAATAAATTTGAATTTTTTTAAATTCTAAGATTAAGTTTTTTCTTGCTTTTTGTATTATTTCAGTTATTGAAATTTGCATTTTTTTTCTAAATGTGAAATTTAAATTTCAAAATTATAATTTCTCATTACTCATCTTTACCACAACACCGGAGAATAGTAATATAATTACCTCTTTCTAACCTGTTACCGGTGTGTCTAAGTAGACACACCGGTAACAGGTTAGAAAGAGGTAATTATATTATAATTTCTCATTCTCAAAAGATAANATTTAGTTTAAATAATGATTGTAATTAAATAACATTAGCGAAATATAATTTGAGGTTTGCATTAAACAATATTTTTCTTTGATAATTTAATCTTAGAAGACAAAGAAGAGAAAAATAAATGCTGAATTTCTGTTTTATTAGCTCTTATTGTAGCCAAATTGTTATAGGAAGTTACTAAGAAAGATTTTTACCTTCTATAGTTTAATAATACACTGCACATTTGTCAGATTACTGTCCTGTCAAATAATAAAATTCAGAGCATATAAATTTATATAAGTTAATATGTTGAATTTCTATTATGAAATAACATTTTTTATGATAAATTGCTGTATATTTATTATCATCATATGTCTAACTTAATTTCTATGTAATAAAAATGCATATTTAAACTCCATTTGATATTAATAAATCATTTTCAACTTAAACTATAACCCAATATTCATTAGCCAAAGATGTAAAACCAGTTTGTTTATTTAAACAATTAATTACTATAATATAACAGTTTAATATACAGAACTATGCAAAATGTTATGATGCAGTTAATATTATAAACAATGAATGTGGTTTCAAGCCTCTTTTATGCATCCTTCTTCTTCTTCTTGGTGCCATATCAGATTTCTGACGTCGGCGACACCCGGCACAGATTAGTAAGTAGTTAATAATACGCCAAGGTGTTATTAGGAAAGGTTAGTACCCAGAGTGGTTTCCCGTTGTCTTCTCTGGGACGCGATGTTACGCGAGGGGAAAGAATGCCTTCCGGGAGGACTTTTATGGGGAACTGGCCTCCTATTTAGTCGTTATTGGCAAGGAGAAAACCCAGAAAACTCCAAGCAGCCAGCCTGTCCAATCGCGGCGCGAAACCACGACCGAACTCCCAGTGTTTAGGGTACGAAGACCGCTCGGCCACTGGTGGGCTCTATGCATCCATTTTTTTTAATATGATAGGAATATAATCTTAATTTTTAACAGTTAACTGTTCATAATTAAATATTTTATATTTGTAAAGTGTATTTATCAGAAATTTTATTTAACAATGTGTAATGGGTAAGCATTGAAAATATTATTTTTAATTAGAAAAAGATGGATTATATTAATATCAGATGATTATAATTAAAGTACTCCTATTCTACACTGTCTAAAGATATATTTAGCAGTCCAAATGCAATAAATTCTGATATGACAACATTTAGGACATATAGAAGATATTTCACATGAATTTTTGTAAAAAAAAGCAAAAGAATAAGTACTAAAATTTACCACTTTGAGCATCTTTTGGTGTTGCAACCAACAAGCATTTAATTTGTATAAGACATTCATATAATGCAGAGACCTTAGCAGTGAAGGGCATACTGTTTAATGTGATTCCCATTCTGAAGGCAACAAGCAGTGTGTTTGTCAATCCTCTGTGGTTCTTCTCATGCGTATTATAATGAATCATGTATCTTTCACTGCTGTGAAATTTGCAACTTTCTAAACCATATTTCTTAAGTGTACTCACAACCAAAAATCACAAAAATTAAGCTCACATCACATTGTTTAAAGTGTTAAAAGTGCCATTTCTGTAAAAAAAAAATTTAGTACCAAAGCTTACCAGTATGGTAAGTTTTGGTACTAATTATTTTCAGAAATGTCTTCCTCATATCCTGAAATATCATCATACAGATTTGTTTGCATTTGAACTGCTAAATATATCTCTAGACCAGTGGATCTCAAAGTGTGGTCTGCAGCTGACCTAGTCATTTATTTAAATTGCAATATTATGTTGCTTAGCCAGAAGGGAGAAGAATATTTTCATGTATCATCTCTTATATTATGTTATTGGTTAGACAAAATATTTTGATACTCAATCTACCATTCTCTAGGGTAATATTTATATTTATAGAATAAGAACTGAATGAGGGCATAGGTGATCCATAGTTCTTCTGTGATTCAGTTTAAGTGGTTCCTTGATTGATAATTTTGAGAACTAATGCTTTAGACAGGATATGTACTTTAATTATATCACTCAATATATGCAAATTTTAAATATCAATCATCTATGATATTTAATATGTTTAAATAAAAATATTTTTAATATACTACAATTTAATATTTTAAAAATCAATTATTTCTAGAATTTATCTATTTCATACAAATTTCTTTGGTGTATATATGTATGTATGTTGATATAATAATAATATATTAATAATATTATTATTATTATATTATCATACATATATATATATGTACATACATCAAATTTTGCATGTAGGTAAGATTCTATATATATTGTTCCAGTTTACTGTTGTGGTTTTTATATATTAATGTGTATGTAATAATGTTTAGTACGATTACATTTATGACAATTAATCTTTATATTTTTACATTGATGACTTGCAAACAATTATAAACAGGGCTATTGAGAGTTTGTATGATGACCAGGGGTAGATTGAGCCCCCTTTAGCCATTTTTTTTCTTTGCTTGAACAAATGAAATATGCAGAATGTTTCTTTATTAATAAAAAACAGTCTTAAAAATGTTAATTTTTGTTAGTAAAATAACAATAATGTTACATGGTAGGAAGGTAGGAATCATTACAAGTGCATTAGTTTTTTCCAACCAGTTCCCCTCTCAACAGCTCTGCTTATAAACATAACTAACAATTATATGATTCTTTATAAATCTATGCATTTATTTATAATCTAATTTTAAAATATTGAAAACAAACTAAATACATTTTGTCATCATACTGCATGCATAAAATATATTTTTAAACAATATAAAAAGAAATTTTTCTATTAAAAGATTCCATTCAAGGATATGAGTGAAAATTTAGGTTATTCATGCAGAAATAAGCTTTCATTTTTGTAGAATTTAAATGTTCTTTAACAAAAATATATGATACAACATAAACAATTAAATACCACTATTACAAAGACAAACAAATTCCTGTTTTTGGCTCAAAAGATAAGAAATGAGGAACTTGATCTCACATAGTAAGGGGGTTAAAAGCAAATGTCAAATTCTTGGCTGATTTGGAATGCATCTATTCTT